ATATATTTATATAGACACATATACATAAATATATACACATATATATATACACATATAAACATACACACACACATATATATACAGACATAAATATATATATATATATATATATTAGGGCTGCAACTAACGATTATTTTGAAAATCGATGAATCGGCCGATTATTTTTTCGATTAATCGATGAATCGGACACAAAATATTTTTTTTGTATTAACCTCTTCATTCCAAAATAAACATTTTATTCAGAACAAACAAGCACACAAGTACAGGTTGCTCATTAACTGTACTGGTGCAATATGAAAAATAAATGTTTGTGTTAAAACTACGCAAACTTACATGAGAAATGTAGCTGTACATCCACAAAATATAGGGTATTTTGTTTCATAAAGCGCAAAAAGAGACATTTTTGTTTTTTAAAGCCCCTAAGGGGTTCAAACAATAGGTCCCCCCCATTTCAACAAATGAGTTTTTTTTTAGACTAGAAGAGTTCTGCCTTTAAGACAGAAAAGTATAGCAGTTAAAGTTGCTACTTGAGAAAATACTGAACCATAGAGATAAAAATAGCCCTGTGATTCAAATTATAAATTGTATTTGGAATAAAAATGAGAGAACTAGGGGTGGTAAAAAACACATCCTCCAAAGACAGATATTTACATGGGAATGTGGCATATACTTAATTGACATATTACTGATCTTGCTGGATTTTATTCTGCTTTACTTCCATAAATTGCAGGATCTTCTTTACTTTATCTTTGCCAGAAGATATAAACTTTAAAAGCCTTGCCCTCATAATTTGCAAATTAATTTATTTATAAAGAAAATATAAACGCTGCTTAAGCTAGTTCAAATGAAATTAAAAGTAAAATAAGTAGCCAACCTTATCACTGTCTGTAACCTACTAACAAGCTAAGGAAAGCATCAGATGAGCTACCTGAGAAACTAACTTACGTTTCCCCACTTTTAAATGAAAAAAACATGGTTACTCATCCTGCTGATCAGCTCTCTTCACTGCCATCAAAGGCTCCAACATGTTTTCTTTTCAGGTGCTGCGTCATAACAGTGGTGCTTCCGTGCCATGCTCATTTGTTTTTACAAAAGTTGCATGTTACGACTTTTTTCACTTTACAAAGCGCAGGCTATTTTAATTATTGTGATCAATTTGCGCCGTCAATCCCGGGGCATGCGCGCTTCATTTGCAGTCTGAACGCTGAGGGTAAACTCCTCACTAAAATCCTGCGGCTCTGACTGCAGCGCTGAGAGGGATTCCTGTGGGAGAGGGAGAAAGGCGTTGGGATGGGGGAGGCGCCCCACGGCAGCAGCTGCCGCTGGAGGACAAGAGTAGGAACGATACATGCTTTCACGCAAGAGTCTCCAAAAGCCGCCAGTGACACCGTAAAAAGTCGCCAGATTTGTCGCTAGTCGCTTTTTTAAAAAATAGTCGCTGGAGGGGTCTGAAAAGTAGCTGAGTTGGCAACACTGCAACTGCGGCGCTGACTCGCTCCGCCATATTTTTTTTTCTTCCCCGGGATGACGGCGGCGGCGGATGACGCATTAATCGCGCGACACAACTAATCGATGATTAAATTCGTTGCCAACGCTTTTAAAAGTCGATTTTTATCTATTTCATCGATTCGTTGTTGCAGCCCTAATATATATATATACTAGGGATGGGACGATTTATGAAAACCGTCCGAACCGTTCGGTTCGACTGTCTCGGTTCGGTTCGCGTGTGTTTCGTTCGGTTCATGCGCTGCTCCTTTTTCTCATAGGCGAAGCGTTTACACTCCAGAGCAGAAGGTGGCGGTAATGAGACCAAAGCCAACCACCAGTAGTAAACAAGAAGAAGAAGCGAAGCAGCGTAGCCGGGTGTAGCAGAAAAAAATCAGTAGTTGTGGAGAATTGTGTGGGAATGGCGAGTGGGAAAGAACAGGAGTTGGAAGACGCGCCAGCAGCACTTTATAGGTCTGCTGTATGGGACCACTTTGCATTTAGAGTGACCTACGATGACGGCGGAAAGAAAGCTGGGGATAAAAGTGCAACAGTGTGCAAGCATTGTGCAACACGTTTTGTTTATGCTAACAGCAACATGACCAACATGTCATGCTAACCTCGAAATCCCACATACTCCGTCAGCGCTCCGCCCCGCTGCGCTGCAGACCGGCTGCTCAAAGCAAAGCCTACAGCCTCCACTGTGGCTCCCGTCCGCTCCGCTCTGAGTTCCTTGAAGATCGTAGAGGGCATGCGCCAGATGATTAAATTCAAAGCAGCAAAACATACGGAAATGATCCAGGGTTTCCACGGATCATTAAAAATAATTACAATCCATAATTTTTTGGGGGATTTTTTCATTAATTCCATAAATTTTTATGGGATTTCGGTGTAACAATCAACATGTATCGAACCGAAAACCGTGACCACGAAACCGTGAATTGAACCGAACCGTGGATTTTGTGAACCGTTCCACCCCTAATATATATATATATATATACACACACACAAACACGTAACTCACACATAACTGTTTGAGTTGCTTTTTTCGTGAATTTAGCGTGCAATATATTTCAGCACGACTTTTTCAGATGAGAAACGTACCAAACACACGTCATTCACTTAATAATTACTACATTGACATTTCACAGTGAATTTGTTTCTATTTACTTTATATTTTCCAACGTTACGTTAAACACAATGTCGGTGACCAATTTAATTTATTTTTCATAATTTAATATCTTCCAGTCAGTGAGATAGCCAGACTAATGCTATCCTACATGCTACACTATAGGATCCATTGGTGTATATATTGATTTTCTTGGTTAGTTCCTCCACTGACTGTGAAATTACCTGAGGAACGTTTTCCTTCAGCCGACAAACTGCTTGTTTTTGCCGCCAAATGAAACACAGGGAGAAATTTTTACAGCGTGTCTCCAAGGGAGTGGGGAGTACCAATATGGCTGACGGTGGCTTCACTTTTTTAGGGCGATCAGCAATGCAATGAATAGAGATCGGTGGTAAATACACAGAAAGGCTATATTTACTAGAAAAATTACAAAATAAAGCGTAAAACAGAAATAATAAATACTACACCAACAGGATGCCTCAATTTGTTATAAAAAAAAAAAAAGAAAACCAGTTTATAACCAGAGTGAGTTATGGTTATATAAACAGAAAAAGGCAAAATAAATGACAGTAGTAATAATTTCATACTTAAAGTACTTTCATAAGTTTGTATTCTGAATATGAAAGAACTTTTCCTTTAAATAAGTATATTTGCAGTTGAATGGAAAAGGTAATTAAAATGATCATCAGAGTTAAAGTGCATTATGTAAGATTAAGTTTTTACCTCCTCAATAACAGAACAAATAAACCTATTTTTGAGATATTTTTTTATTTAAAGTTTAAACTTTTTTAAAGCTTTAAAGGTTTCTTCTATCTTTTGAACCAACCCCTGATCTAAAGCTGCATGTTTTCATCAGATGATGCTGAACTATTTAGTCCAACTGAACCTTCTGCTGGTTTCAGGCTCTAAAATGAAATCAGAACAAACTGAAACAACAGACAGAATTTATCAGCAGTGTAAAGCAGCAGGTGGAGAAATTAGTTTAGCAACTTCGCCAGACTTCTATCCAGCTATGTGCTGTAGCAGCATTACTGCACCTTGTTCTCCACTCTAACCAGTGCGGTAGGAGCCGACACTGGGAGGGAAAAGCAAACAGATCCATTAAACTAAGGCTGTTAGCATCTGTCTGGATGGGAAGCTCTGATAAACGCTGCTAATGAAACAAAAACGGGGAAAATTTGGGGATTCCAAGGATTTCGGCTGATTTATCCATGAACCGCAGGCAGGAAGTGGAGTTTTCAGGACCCTCTAACTTGAAACGCATCGACTTTCAAACCTGTGGAAGAAGTAACCTGTATGGGGGAATTATCCTGCCATAATGCAAGAGCGCATCATTTCAATTTGAGAAAAGAATTTCATCTTCTTGCACTCCAAACATGCGCTCTCTCTCAAATATTTTCTCTTCTCTCTCCAATCTTTGTTTCTTCTCTCAGATTTAATGCTTCTTGCACAGATATTTTCTCCTCTCGCTTGCCTCCTTCTCTTCGCGCACAAACCGCGCTCTGCTCGAGTCTCAGATACGCTCGCAAACCCGTAGGCTCTGCTTGCGGATTTTTTTTGCTCTCTCTCGGATTGCAGTCGGATCGTTGCCTAGCAACCTTTCCAGCCAATAGAACGACAGCCTGGGAAAGGGTGTGCTTGTTTAACCCTACTGAGTGTGCCTGTGCTACTACGCCACTTATACGAGCGTCAGCTGAAACTGCTATTTACAGGAGTTTTGTGGCTCGATTCAGCAAAATTCAGTACTTATGGATAACCCAAACAATTCTGAAGTAATTTTAAACAATTAGTGAACAGAAAACTCCCGCCTCAGAGTTGCTCGTCAGGAAAAAAAAAAGTTTGCTAGTCAGGGCAGATGCTAATTCTGCCTCCAGCAGAAATTAAGTGACTTTTCATTGGTGATTCTTCAATCGCCCTTTATTATTTCCTTTTTTTATTTCCCTGATTGTTGTTGTTTTTCAGCTTCTTATTTTAACCCTTTCCGAGGCTGTCGTTCTATTGGCTGGAAAGGTTGCTAGGCGACGATCCGACTGCAATCCGAGAGAGAGCAAAAAAATCCGCAAGCAGAGCCTACGGGTTTGCGAGCGTATCTGAGACTCGAGCAGAGCGCGGTTTGTACGCGAAGTGAAGGAGGCAAGCGAGAGGAGAAAATATCTGTGTAAGAAGCATTAAATCTGAGAGAAGAAACAAAGATTTGAGAGAGAAGAGAAAAGATTTGAGAGAGAGCGCATGTTTGGAGTGTGAGCAATATAAGTTTTGAGTGCAAGAAGATGAAATTCTTTTCTCAAATTTGAAATGATGTGCTCTTGCATTATGGCAGGATAATTCTCCCATAAACCTGGATTAGAAATAAGAGAAATAAAGATTATAGAAGCCAAGCGTTTTGCATTCATTTTTTTATGTCCCAATGTTGTTTTAGGAAGTGGTAATCAACAAAGAGTTCAGTGGGAATACAGGAATGAGTGACAAAATAAAAAAAGGTCTATCATCCTAAAGGCACTATCAGTCTCATCATGGCTAATCTCACCCTGTAGTTCAACCCTGGATTAAAGGCATATTAGCGCCTGGCTCCAGCTCCTAGATTAGCAGCTAACAAAGCACAGTTTCTGTGAAAAAACACTGAAAGTTAAAGTAAAATAAAATCAGACGATGCTGAATAATCTAACAAATGATGCATCGGTCCGTTCGTTTCTGCCTGTTTTATTTTCCCTCCACCTTTTGGTCCTTAAGTGAGTTTAACTCTGTGAATTCAATATGTACAAATACATCTATGACCCAAAACAACTTCGTAAACAAGTTTCATTGAGGTGCTTTAAGCAGAAGAATCTTCTTTCCATTCAGTTCAGATCAAGTTTGAAGTGGTTGACCTCGTTTACGTCTTGGTTTAACGTCTCTCACTACCTGAGGAGGAAATCCTCTCACAGCGAAGACGCTTCAAATACTGTAGATAAAAAAAAAAACATTTCTGCCATATTTCCTGTTGAAATTCAAAGGAGCATCCTCCATCCGATCCAGTGACGTCGTTAACTGCCTCCCTCTCAGTTCGCCTTGGGGTAGATCTTTTCATAGAAGAAGCTTTGAGCCAGCACGTACAGCTCGCCGTCCTTCTCCCTGACGGCGTGAGCGCGCACAAACTGGAACTGTTCCAGCGCAAACTCGTAAAACTCGTTCTCCATCTTCCAGATGGCGGATTGCTGCAGCTTGGTGGTGGTCTCTTTGGTGGGGGGCTTCTTCTCCGTGGTCTTCCTTAAATGGGACCTTTTACCTGGGAGGGATGTACAGAGAGTCGTTTGGTGGGGACGCCATGTTTACTCATCCATAAAACAGCTGCTCTGATCAAACTCATGGGGAGCTGACGCCTTTTTTAACACGGATTTCCAATGACCTGCATTCATCACGTCTATATTTTGGGAATTTGAATATTTTTTGAATTTCACTTAAAAATGATTTGAATTGGAAAAGCTTCCTGGATGGGAAGAGAAACGTCTTCAAACTTTTTTGGACTGACTATGACCTGGATGACTGAGAATCTTCACCAGCAGATCCAGAGACTCGTTGCTCCTGACTGCAACATTAGGGAAAATATTGTTTGGGCAGAAGCTGAATTAAATCTGTAATGATTTGAAATTGAATTTATTAAATTAGAAATTAAACTCTCTAAATCTGAGCTCTCAGAATTTTATCTTCTTTTCATTTGCATCTTTGCTAATTAAGTCCATTTCATGTAGAAGTTGGGACATTAATATTTCTCCTTAATGTGCGAATTATCAGACTGACCCACTGATGTTGTCAGCAATGATGTTGATGACATCACAATACCCCAACGCCGATACTGTATAGCGCCACTGTTGCTCCCAGATCTGCTCGGGTCCTGCTTCCTGCCAGCGACGTTACGCTAAATGATTCGCTGATCGTTGCCACATGAGGTAAAACATTGTGGTTGCCCAGACAACGATAATTACATCACGCAGCGTCAGTGTGGCGAGTCGGGAGCATCTGTAGCGTGTCTAATGACCGATGAAGTTTTACCTGATCGATAAAAAAACAGAAATAAATCTGTTTCTGCTGAACAAAGTAACTGTTAGACCCTGATATAAAGGGGGAGAGCTGGGTAGCGCTGTGGCTAGCTGAGCTCAGTAGCTAACAGGTTAGCCTCTGTTAGCTCACTCAGTTAGCCATATTAAGCTACGCTACTTTTAACTTTGTTTCAACAACAACCGTTAGTTTCTACAAGTAGAATAACTGTTTTATTTGTCTAAAATCTCAACGAATGTCTTTTTGAGACGTTCCATTTGTCCGCTGCCCTCAAATTTAATAAAAAGAATAAAAATAAGCTGAGACTTTTTTTGTCTCCTTGTTAAATAGCAGAGCTCAGTCTGTCTTAGAACGCAGTACTTTCCTTCAAGACCGACAATGATTGTTTTCTACTGTCGGCTACTTTAGATCGCAGATGAAATGTAAAATAACAGCAAATATAGGGAATAATATGTTGAGAATCCAAAAGAGATTCGATTATTTTTCTAGGTTTGTGACGCAATATTGGACCATGCAAAACACAGATTTATCTTTGCAAAGCCTCAGAAGGGCAAAATATATGTACAAAAAGTAAACCTGTACATAAAATTATTATTTTTTTTTTAATAAAGAGTTTTTATAATGTTTTTGTTATCAGCATTTATATAAATACAGTGGTGTGATAACTTAGTATATGTTTGATTTGATGATATTACTTTCAATTCTGGGGGCGGAAAAAAATGGGAAAAATGTTTTCTATTGATCTAAATGGACCTTAGCCTTTTTGATTGGTCAGGAGTGAATGTTATATCTGGCTTTAAGTGAAGAGAAACTTGACAAAATAAAACATATAAAATGTGTGGAAAAATTTGAAGAAAGAAAGTTGGAGAAAATAAAATGTAAAAAGAATCTGATATAAAAGTTACTATCAACGTTTTTTAATAAAAATTCTTTTTTAAACATTAACTTCTGAATTTCATTTTATATATTTTCCTTTAAAAAAACGTGTTCTTTGCTTACAATGGAACAAAATTGACAATAAAAAAATCCACTTTAAATCTAAGCTTTACCATTCGTCCTCTAATACAATATAAGTTCAGGCCAATAATTAAGCAAATAAGATGATTTGCCAATGGAATGAGTATTTTTACTCTTAAAATAAGATAATTAGATAATATTAATTTTTTATTTTTTTTTTAATGGAAATTTTCTTGTTCCATTGGCAGAGTCTCACTTACCTCCTAAATTCTAGAAAAAATGCACTTATTTTAATCAAAAGATTATAAAGATGAAGCAAACCCAGGACAGTATGTTCGTCTGCTGCTACCTGTCCTGTAGAGCTCTGTTGCTCCCTTGAAGAAGCGTGGCAGAGCCGCCTCCAGGATCATGATGAAGTCCTCCAGCTCCTCAGTTACTCCAACCAACAGATACTCGTTCACCAGGTTATACTTGGCCTGCTCCAGAGCCCATCTACTGCCTACATTCCTGCACACAATTTACCAACAATTAAAATCAAACACTAAATATCCGTTTAAATACTTAATTCAGTTCTATTCAGTTTATTTCTATAGCGCCAATAACACGTCATCTCAAGGCAAATTACAGTTCACCAGATCATCCAGTCAGACTGATTCCACGTTTTCTATCTAAGGAAAACCAGCTGATTGCATCGACTCATTGACTCTTCAGCAATCCCTCACACTAAGCATGCTTGTAGCGACAGTGGAGAGGAAAAACTCCCTTTGAACAGGAAGAAACCTCCAGCAGAACCAGGCTCAGTGTGAGCGGCCATCTGCTGAGGCCCACTGGGGTTCAAGGAGACAGAAGCAGACATAGAAAAAGAAGCATAGATACAAAAGGCAACTGTCTACAAGCTCCAGAGGAAACACACAGCCAGGCAAACAAGCTCAGAACAGATATCCAGAATTTTCCATTATTTCCATAATTGTTGCAATCCAAGAACTAGTTTTGTACATGGAAAATTGAAAAAAAAAAATTCTCAATATATATATATATATATATATATATATATATATATATATATATATATATATATATATATATATATATATATATATATATATATATATATATATATATTCATAATTTCTATTTATTTTTCTTTTAAAGAAGTTATCATTTCAAATTGTAATATTTGCCACTTTCTTTTTCACATTGTTTTGCGGGATCACATTTTCTTCGCTAAAAAAAGTATTGTTTGCATATTTCTAGAGCTTAACAATAATACGCTAAAGGTATAATGGAGGATTTTCCCAAATTTTGGAAAAGACCCTCTCTACTTAAAAAAAAAAATAAAAATAAAAAAATGCACGTGCACAACCCTGTATCAGGGTTGTCAGTGATGTCTGTCTGAGGGTCAAGGGTCATTTGGGGCAATAAGCGAGGTTTCGTCTCCTCTCTCTCGTTTCTGTAGCTCCACATTTTCTTGCTCACGTTGGTTTTTCATGTGCTTATATAAACTTGTGTTTCCACTGCATTAAATCGTCTTCTTACAACCCATGCAGCTTCCGTTGTTTCCTTTACGGTATTAAAATATAGTCAAACCGGCTTCATTCCCTCTTCTTCATGTTTTTCTGCTCCGCTGCGGAGCAGCAGCACAGATGTATGTCTGTTGAGTGGAGGGAGAGCTGAGGGGGCGGACCAAACAGCCTGCCTGCTGAGCTGGTGACGAGGGGGGAGGGGGGGAGCAGCAAAGTGCTGTAACCCAGACGGGGAGACTGGTCAACCGCTTCAGTTAGTGCGTGCGGGAGAGAATAAAGAGTATGGATCTTATTAAACGACAGAGATGGCAAAAGTACTCACTTTTCGTACTTGAGTAAAAGTACAGATACTTGTGTTAAAAAATAAAAGTGGAAGTACTGATTAAACTTCTTCACTCAAGTAAAAGTAACAAAGTACAGGCTTGTAAATTTACTTAAAGTATAAAAGTAAAAGTAGAAACCACTTTTTTCATGCTGTTGCCTACATTTTAAATGGATGTCTGCCAATAGGACTAGATCTCCGTTGAATTAGATTGAATTTGGTATTGATGAGGTGAAAAATAATAACGGTAACTCCATTGAAATGATTCAAAACTAAAGTAACGAGCCAATTTTTTTAAATGTAAGGAGTAGAAAGTACAGATATTTGTGTAAAAATGTAAGGAGTAGAAGTAAAAAGTCGCCATAAAAATAAGTTGTAAAGTAAAGTAAAAATATCTGAAAAATCTACTTGAGTACAGTAAGGAAGTATTTGTACTTCGTTACTTCCCATCTCTGTTAAACGAGTATTGTTCAATATCAATACCAAAGTCGATATTGATGGTATCGATCCGCTCACCTCTACTGGAAAAGGAAAATCCTCCACTATACCTTTAAGTTTATATTTGTGAGTTCCGCATCTTTAATTCTGTTGAAACATCGTGCTCCACAGTGAGAATGAAAAAGATGAGTTTATACAAGTTAAGTTTTTTTTCCCCCTCATACCTTCAATTATTTGTTATTTTATATCTGTATCAGAAATTATATAGAGTATCAAAAACTTTCCTGGATATCAACATTGAGTTTTAAATTGGATTATCTTGATGATCCCAATGTTAGTTAAATTTAATGACTAATTGAATTGTTGCTGCTGTTGATGCAGACCAATAGAATCAGAGTAACGTCCCGCCCACTGGAGAGAAGACGATCTGATCTGGGAAACGCAATTTTAAAAGGATGCGGTTCATAAAACTAGATCAATAAGAGAAAAAAATTAACTTAAAAAATAAAGAAAAAAGTAAAATATATATATATAAAAAAAGAAAGAAAATAAAATAATTTGGAAAAGACATAAAAACCAAGAAAACAGTCTAACTACTCCAAAAAGTTTTTCTTTTTTTATTACCATTTTTCATTTCATCTCTAGATTTTTTTTTTTTTTTTTTCATTTACAAAACATTTTCTTTGCTTGCAATAATAACAGAACAACTTTCCCTCTATAGAGGGCCAGCAGCCCAGGAATTTGACACCTTTTACTCTTTCTTTCACACTCTGGACCTTCATCCTAGTGGGCATCAGAGGAAAAGCTGCAGCCTGCTTACCAGCACTCTGAATGGTGACCACAGAAGAACGGGATCTGCAGCCAAAGTTTCTCTGGAGCACAATCCGACCCTCCTGATGAGACGCATTCATCAAAGCTCTGAAACAAGCCAGGTTGAACAAAGTTGGGTTATAATCCAGAGTTAATTCTGGGGTTAATTTCAGCCTATGGTGGCCTTTCTGTTTCAGAAAGTTAAAATGACTCCGTAAAACAGACCTGCTCAGTATCAGGTTTGTTTTATGGCTGTATAAATTGTATAAATAAATGGCTGTAAGCAATCCATGGAGCACATCTACCTTCTTATCGCCTTGTTTCCTGCGTCGGAGGCCTGGTCTGTAGTCGTCTCCGAAGCGCAGGAAGTAGTAGTAGGACACAAGTCGCTCTATTGGATCCCGCACCACGTTTATGTACAAGGGTTTACCCTTCACACCATATCTAGGCAGGAACAGAAGTTATTCAGATAATGTCAAAAATGAGTTTGTTTCTTTCTTTTTTAAATAATTCAATATCTTTAATTAGTTAAATATAGGCCCTGTGTTTACACCTTGAAGCTTTCTCTTTCCCGTTCTTTTCCCTGAAAAGAGATCACTCGGGACAAACTCTTTAAATAACACTTCATTACTTAAATATGTGTTAAATATGAGATACTAATAGAAATTGTAATCTTACTCAGATTAGAGAAGTTGCTTAGAGTTACAGAAGACAGCTGCTTACCAACCGGGCTCACATCTCATGAAGTGGACCCTATATATTAAGGGTGTGCAAAATAATAGTCATGACGATGCATCGCGATTCTAATTTTTGTGATCTACTGCATCGATTCTTGAAGAAAAGAATCGATTATTTGAAAGAAAAAAAATGAACAAATAAAATACATGAATGGTTGCCGCACATTAGCCAAACCAAGTGGAATACAACTTCCAGTCCAGCAGATGTCGCTGCGGATGTGTTGACGCCCGCTGCTTTGTGTCACAATGTCCGGCCGCGGGATACTGCGACGAGTCATATGAAATAAAACATGGAGGACACTATGAAAATTCGCCCCGCGGCTCCATCACATTTCAAGTCAGATGCTTGGATGCATTTTGGCTTTAAAAACAAAGAAGGTAAAAATTAAATTGATGTGATGCACGTCATTTGCAAAAGGGGAAATATACATTTGAATGTTTTCATTTCATTGGTTTAAAGGACCACTGAGGCCATGTAAACGGCACTGATTATCCTTATTTTGTTATTTTAAGTTTGATGAATCCTAAGATCTTTTTGTCAGTGTGTCCAGGCCAGTAATAGTAATATTTGTGTCCAGTATTTGTTTCCATGGCAACACCTCCTAAAGTCGTTTCAATAAATACAGCTATGTATGAATTCAGTTGCTTTCAGTTATGCATCAATTGAAGACACGATCCAGATCATACCCAGGCAGTCAACCACTGGTAAGGGCTGTATCTTTTTCTTACAGTGTTCAGTGAAAATATTGCGATGCATCGCAATATTTCAAGTATCGTGATGCATCGTGATAGAATCGCATCGTGGCATGTGAATCGTGATTTGAATCGAATCGTGACTTATTTTGCAATGCCCACCCCTACTATATATGTATATACACATTAGGGGTGGAACGGTTCACAAAATCCACGGTTTGCTTCACGGTTTCGTGGTCACGGTTTTAGGTTCGGTATGTTGATTGTTAGGAAAATCTATTATGTCTGGTATAATATAACACGTGTTGCACAATGCTTTTTTTTTTTTTTTTTTTTTTTTTTATTAAGTCAACAAACATTCACATGAAAAATACTCTCAGAGAGGATAGCAAAGTTGAACATGAACAGATAAAGATCCATTACATAAAAGAAAAACAAAGAAGTAAAACAACTAACGGGATTTATTTCAGCAAACATTTAAAACAAACATAGACAGAGCCATAGAAATAATAGAAACAAAAAGGTGAATGCACTTAAAATAGCAGATGTTTGGAGAAATCAAGTCTCAATTTTTTGGCATATTTGTCATTTTTTATCTTCTTAAGAGAAGAAAATAGATTTTAAAGTCATTCATAAACCAATGAAAGGAAGATTTAAAATTTCTCCATTTAGCGCAGTGGATATGATATTTACCCAACAACAGGAGGACATTAATAGTATCAGAAACAGGCTGGGGAAGATGGTCCATATAAAAAATGACTAATTTAGTGCAAAAGTAGTGTTGCACAATGCTTGCACACTGTTGCACTTTTATCCCCAGCTTTCTTCCCGCCGTCATCGTAGGTCACTCTAAATGCAAAGTGGTCCCATACAGCAGACCTATAAAGTGCTGCTGGCGCGTCTTCCAACTCCTGTTCTCTCCCACTCGCCATACCCACACAATTCTCCACAACAACTGATTTTTTTCTGCTACACCCGGCTACGCTGCTTCGCTTCTTCTTCTTCTTGTTTACTACTGGTGGTTGGCTTTGGTCGCAGTACGGCCACCTTCTGCTCTGGAGTGTAAACGCTTCGCCTATGAGAAAAAGGAGCAGCGCATGAACCGAACGCAACACACGCGAACCGAACCGAGACAGTCGAACCGAACGGTTCGCACGGTTTTCATAAACCGTTCCATCCCTAGTGTGTATATATACATATATAGAGTCCAATTCTCGTGAAGTGGCCCCAATTAACAGTTAAAAAGGCATTTCATACATCTCCAGTCTGCCACATCATCACATTTTACATCATCCACTTTAGCAGATGAGGAGACATCCATGGCTCCAGCCTTCAAAATATTACACTTTGTTCTTAGCTGAAGGACACCGATCTTTGCCACGTACAGAATGAAAATTCTAACTGTGTATCCGGACAGAGGAACTGTCCTAATTAGATTAACTATTGTGGAAAACAATAATCTATAAGCTAATATTAAGGTGTAATAAACTCACACATAATCAATGATAATTATCCTAACAAATAAAAAAATAAAAAAACAGAAACTCTCTGAGATGTCCACCTGGGGACAAATGCTGCCAAGCTGGAGGCTTTTTCAGAGTCAGGGTTCTTCCAACTATATTCAATCCGTTTCCAATTTGCTGTTAGATTTTGCTTTTCAAAGCATCATCCTGAAACCTGCTGCTTGTTAGTCTGCTGTAAATTTCAGAAGCCAGAAAAATTATTCAATGATTGCTGAAACCAGCCTCCGATTGTCAGCGGGACTTTATGGCTTTGGGAATAACTCACTAACATCAAAATCTAAACCCTTTAAACCAGACTAAAGCTGCGTTCACACCAAACTGGTTTTAAGCATTAAGAAGACGTCCAACGCCTCTACTTGTGTATAATGATGTCAAATCCTCCGGATGTTCTTTTCCTTGAAAACTACAAAGCCTTATGAGCCTTATTTGCTTAGATAAAAATGTTTTAACACATTTTGGATAGAAGTCCTCAAAACGTCATTAGATTATGATTCTGCTTCTACTTGCTTTTAAAACCAATGGAATTTAACCATCTTATATAGATCCATTCTTTATAGTTTAATGCTGACGGTTTGCATCCAGTGTTTGTCTGACAGTCAGCTCCTGGATCAGCTTTGATCGGCTGATTCTCTGCATCCAGCTGTAAAAGTTCAGGGTTTTTATGCCAAAGACTCAGAGAGATTCAAAAGTGGATGACCTAGAAACGCTTTTGGTCTGAAATAAGCATAAAAACGTATAGAATATAACTTTATTTAACATCTTATGTAGGGATGCAGGATATAATCGGCCCCCTATCGGTATCGGCCTTAAAACTGAATATCGGACATCGGCCCCCCCACCGATATTTAACCCGATATTTGATCAGCTTCTGAGTTTCTAAAGTCTAAAAAAAAATAAAAATAAAAAATACTACCGTATTTTCACGACTATAAGGCGCACTTAAACGTCTTTTTTCCCCTCAAAATGTGCGGTGCGCCCTATGTGTGTTGTAACTGCGACTTTTGAGACCACCTCATTGAGGAGATGATGAAAGAGTGGCTGAATGTAAGGAGACCAGGTGTTTTTTTTCCACTCATCACCATCGCTGTTAATATGTAACTCCATGCGTGCCCATCTCACAGCTGATGTGAAAAACATGGGGAAACAAATTAACGCTGTGCTCGCTGTTCAACCGCTCGACATCGGTGTGAACCGGACCCAGCAGGTGCAGCAGAAGCAGCGAGTTTACATGCAAAGTCAATGGTTGACGCGCGTATAGGTGCAGCAAAAGGTCCTGCAGCGCGTTTTGAGCAGCAGGCGCAGCGCTTCGGGAGCGTTTAAGCATCTGCCAACGCGCTGCTGCTGCTCGAGATGGAAAAATTGAAGTTTTGCTGCTGGACGCGCCGCATCAACCAATCAGAGAAGCTGATCCGGGAGCTGACAGCGAGACAGACACAGCGCTCTGATGACATATGATATTAACGCAAATGAAAAAGGCTGGATGGATGAGGAGATGATGAAAGCGTGGCTGAGGGAGGTGTATGTGAAGAGACTAGGTGGTTTTTTTCCACGCATCACCATCGCTGTTAATCTGTGACTTCATGCGTGCCCATCTCACAGCTGATGAGAAAAACATGGTGAATCAAATAACCGCTGTGCTCGCCGTTATCCCAGGAGGTCTGACATCGGCTCGACATCGGTGTGAAGCGGCCGTTCAAAGTAAGGCTGCGAGCGGCGTGGGAGCGATGGATGACAGACGGAGGGCACAGTTTCAGGATAAGTTGAAGGCAGCGCCGGGCAAGTTACGCCACCGTTTGCGGATGGATTGTAGATGCTGGGACTAACGTGTCTGCTGGCTCTGTTGTTCAAGCTTTCGCAAAAGCCGGCATTATTTCTGAGGAGCCGTGCTGCACGGAAAGTGACTGACAGCGAAGAATGGGAAATTGGCATGTCTGATTTAGCGCAGCTGTTTAATTCAGAAACAGAGGATGATGACTTTGATGGGTTTGATTAATACTTTGTAATAAATACATGAATAAAGCACAATCATACTCAGTTTTGCTCCCGCTCTATTTTTCTACCTGAAAACTTAATTCAACAGCAGCCTCTGGGCGGGTCTCCTCCTCTTCACCGCGGCGGCTGGCAGGTGTTTTTTCATCTAAATAATCTAAATCTTGCAGCTATATTTGCTGTGATCAGGGGGAATAAAGTAGTTTTAATATGTTTTTAAGTGAGAAAGGCCACCTGAAAACTTCATAATTGCAGTCAGTTCATCCAGATTATCTATTTCTGTCGGAGGCGCTCAGACCCCCACATACCAGCGGTGCGCTGACAGGAGAAATCCCTTCAACAGCAGCCTCCAGGTTCACTGGCTGCTGGCAGGTGTTTTTCATCTAAATAATTTAAACTGCAGGCACCGGGATACCGGTAATAAAAGCGAACAAATTCCGTCGGCAGGTTTCAGGATTTTAAGTTAATTTAGGAGTAATCACAGCGCCCTGTCATCTGCGATGTGTCTGTCTCACGGCCAGCACCCAGGTTTGATTAATACTTTGTAATAAATACATGAATAAAGCACAGTCATACTCAGTTTTGCCCCCGCTGTATTTTTAAATACGCAGTAGAGGTATTTAAAGGTAGTAGAGGACATGTACCTGTATATAAAAAACGCGCCCTATAGTCCGGTGCGCCTTATGTGTGTGTTAAATACAGAAATGGGACACATAACTGAGACTGCGCCTTTTAGTACGGTGCGCCTTATGGTCGTGAAAATACGGTACTTCTTCCTCAAAAACTTCTTTTTTACAGACTTAAAAACTTCTAAAGACGAGGGAAAAAATATTGATACATTAAAATATCCCAATATCTTCATATGCTGATATATTGCCATTTAAAAACACCATATCAATCTCTTTTACTAATGAAATATTGCTATATGTCATCGTTATGCTACGAAATCCCCCGAAAATTCACCAAATGTTGCCATATTTTTGTATGTTGATATATTGACGCGGTATCGATCTATTTTACTAACAAAATCTCACAAGAATTTGCAAAATATCACGAGTTTGTAACAGAACGATGAAATTTCGCGAGATTTTGAAAGTAAAATAGATCGATACCGCGTTTTTAAAAATCAATTTGATATCAGCATATGAAAATATATTTGAGTATATTATTTTTCAAAGTGTCAGAAATGGATAACAAAACTGCTATTTTCAATGACTACTTATTTTTGTCCAGCTTTAACATCGGTATCGATATCGGTTATCGGCTACATGAGTTTTAAAATATCGGCCAAAATCCCAATATCGCTCCAATTCACATCATGTCATCTAAAGGCACTTTCCAGTTCACCAGATCATCCAGTCAGATTGATTCAAAGTTTTCTAAGGAAAACCAGCTGATTGCATCGACTCATTGACTCTTCAGCAATCCCTCACACTAAGCATACTTGTAGCGACAGTGGAGAGGAAAAACTCCCTTTGAACAGGAAGAAACCTCCAGCAGAACCAGGCTCAGTGTGAGCGGCCATCTGCTGAGGCCCACTGGGGTTCAAGGAGACAGAAGCAGACATAGAAAAAGAAGCATAGATACAAAAGGCAACTGTCAACCAGCTCCACAGGCGGCCCCGTCCAGGAAACACACAGCCAGGCAGACGAGCTCCGAGCCAGCTCCCATGTCAGAGGATGAAGAGAGCACATCCAGTTAGTCACAGTCAGAGAAACAGGACTACACTGGAAAACAGGCCAAGCTCCAACATCTAGAAACAAAGGTGTTGATGGCAGCAGCACAGCGGATATTTCTCTCCAGGATGGAGTCACAGCCAAACAGGAACAGACCAGATGAAGCTACTATGAGAAAAAGCAGAGAGAGCAGAAGGTTAGAGATTGAACTAACAGATTCTGCAGAGTGGGAGAATAGAGATAGAATGAAGCAGAATGATGAAAAAGGGGTCCCTATGTCCTCCAGCAGTCTAAGCCTATAGCAGCAGAACTATAGAGATAGATCAGGATAACCTGAGCCACTCTAACTAGAAGCTTTATCAAAAAGGAAAGTTTTAAGCCTAGCCTTAAAAGTAGACAGGGTGTCTGCCTCACGGACTAAAACTGGTAGTTGGTTCCACAGGAGAGGAGCCTGAGAACTAAAAGATCTGCCTCCCTTTTTGAATCTTTCAAAATTTTTGTTTCCCATTTTATTCCCAGATAAGTCAAATTCTATTTATTTTTTAATTGTTAATGCAATATTGATGTTTTACAAATAACTGAATAAAAAAAAATTCTATAAACTGTTTTACAGGATTTTTTTCTCTATACTTCTAATGACGGCTCAGGATTCCTGCTGAACCGCAGCTTTGTAGCGTTATTATAAGCAGCCGGCGGTGAATGGTTGGCAAGGTCATGGTGAAGCACGCCAACAGAAGGTCGCGCACGCTCTCTCTCTACGAAAAAAACCAGCTTAGACCATTAGAATAATTACCTGTGATCACTGGGATGATAGAGTCAGGGGAGATAAGGACAACAATGCTATTAATCAACACTAAAGCACAAGCTGGCAATCAATACATGACCTCCCTTTATCTGCTCCACTAACTGCATGTAACTAATCTGGATATTAATGGTATTACAGGAAATGAAGGGCCTTACTTTGAGAAGTCCAGATAAGCGACGTGGCCATGGTAGAAGCCAGGCTTCCTCTCCCTCCATGAGGTGACGTTCCTAACAAAGCGCACCTGCAGACCAGATAATGGGAGTTCATTGTGGAGCAAAAAAAAAAAAACCCAACCCAACATAATGACGTTTAGTTTGTGATTTCCGTTACATGGGAGCTTTTGTGGGTTAATAGGAATGAAGAGTTCAGATATTTGGATGTTAAACGTGTAGCAAAAGGTAACATGGGCTCTGATGTGACCGCAGACTCGATTGTTTCCCTCATCTCAGTTTGATCGTGTTCACTGAGTGTGTGTGAGGCCACGGCGGGGCTATTGTTGGAGGGCAAACAGGATATTACCTTGGCACCGGCAGCCAGACGTGACATTAGTGTAGCTCTGGGGTTTTTACGCAGGGTGACCTGAGCTGAGGGATCTCGGTGCAGCAGGCAGCAAACAAATACAACAGAGAAGATTAAAACTAGACAACCAGAGGGGTAAGTAATGCGCAGTCAGTTTACGAACGTGTGATGGGAATGGACCCAACTATGTATCTGCTGAACCGAGGAAGAGGAGCTCAGCTTCAGAGCGCTGTTTGGAAGCCAAGGCCTGTTGCACTGCTGTAATGCTGCGTTCACACCGGACGCAGCAGAAGCAGCGAGTTTACATGCAAAGTCAATGGTTGATGCACGTCAAGGCGCAGCAAAAGGTGCCGCAGCGCGTTTTGAGCAGGGATGGGGATCGTTAATATTTATTGATATCGATACCACTATCGATACTTTTCTGTTATTTGGTGGAAAGACGATGCGACAATATGTTTTTAACAGACAGAAAGGAAGTGGGGGAAAAAAATTATTTGAAGAAATGTCCTATATTTTGAAGAAATTTCTTCTTTTGGTTTAAAAAAAAACATATAAATTTTCACAATTGTTGGTTAATGTATTGTCTACCGTCACTTTTCATCATGCTTTTAGTGATTAGGAAAATAATTAGCAAATAAATAATTGTATTTTAAATTAAATGTAATTTTTAATAAATGTTGGCATCAGTAGTTGAATTATATATTCTAAAATAGTTAGAGCAATATACAACTGTATTACTCATGTTTCCCGCCAAAAACTCAATTTCCCTTTCCTTTACATTACACTTGAACGCATCATGATAACCTAATTGTCGTTTTACTGAGCCGATCTGAACACATCATCACACAGCATGTCTGAAACTTTATTTACTTTTCAAGCTAACTACTTGTATGCTGCCGATTACAACACGGATTTCACAATTACTATTTTTAACTGACCGGACAAGCTAAAAAGTCTGTGTGCGCGCTGACCAGTGGTACTCTGAGTGGATGATGAAGACGGGCCCGACTGCGGTGCGGCGGCAGCAGCAGGAGGAGGAGGAGTCTTTTCAACCCGGAGACAGTGGAAGGTACTGCATTTGGCCTTTATTTGATGCACAATACTAATGTGCTTGGCCACTGAGGTTGTGTTCCCCCCTTTACAAGAGATGATTTTGCAACATAAGTTGCATTTCGCTTTTCCGGAGAAAAAAAAAACGACCAGACTCGATAGTGGTATCGATAAGCCCAAACGTTATTGATTTTCGGGTTTTGAAAAAAGTGGAACCGGGTCCTTGATAGAACCGGGTTTCGATCCCCATCCCTAGTTTTGAGCAGCGGGTGCAGCGCGTCGGGCGCGTTTAAGCATCTGACGCGCGTGACGCGCCGCAAACGCGCTGCTGCTCCAGATGGAAAAATTCAACCAATCAGAGGAGCTGATCTGGGAGCTGGCAGGGAGACAGACACATCGCTGATGATACAGAGCGCTGTGATCGCTCCTCTGAAACAGTTTATTGACGCCTAAATTGACTTAAAATGCAGAAATCTGCCGGCAGAATATGTTCGCTTTTATTATCCTGCTGCCTGCAGTTTGGATTATTTAGATGAAAAACACCTACCAGCCGCCGCGGTGAACCGCGAGGAGGCGACCCGGCCAGAGGCTGCTGTCGAATGGGATTCCTACTGACAGCGCACCGCTGGGATGTGGGGGTCTGAGCGGCTCCGACAGAGAAATAATATTAGAAGGCAGGATGGTAATCTGGATGAACTGACTGCACTGATTAAGTTTTCAGGTGGATTTTCTCACTTAAAAACATATTAAAACTACTTTATTCCCACTGATCACAGCAAATATAGCTGCAAGGCAGAGAAAGGATAGTGAAGCTCCACCCAACGCGCGTCAGACACACTTTTGCAGCCAAAGAAGCAAAGCTGCTTCAGCCGCGTGTCAGAACTAACTGGTACAAGCAGAAAAAAGGAAGCAGCAGACGAGATTTTGCTGCTCCTGCTGCGTCCGGTGTGAACGTAGCATAAGTTCAAACGAGAGGCACAGATGTCCGTTTGGTTTTCCTGCACACTGACCCAGGTAACTTTGCTTCTGCCCCTGACCTATAATCAGGCTTTTAGCCAGAAATGCGTACAGGCATTGCACACCCTTTAATAAAAAAATGACTAATTTTACACCCTGTTTTTGGGACGTCAGCTTGGTTGCGCGCTAATTTTCCCCTGGAAACTTCGCTCAAATGTTCAAAATTTCACAAACAGATGCTGGAGTATGATCATTTTAACTTTTGCTACTCGACGCGCCGCATCAACCAATCAGAGAAGCTGATCTGGGAGCTGGCAGGGAGACAGACACAGCACTGCTGAAGCTGATCGCTACGATCACTCTTCTGAAACAATTTATTGACGCCTAAATTAATAGATGAAGCAACAGACCAGTTTTTTGCAGCTCAAACAGCGACGTAAACGTAGCATTATGCTATGTTCACACCAAACAGACCGTTTCTCAATATGCGTTCTTGAGCGTTCTCGTGTGCTCGTGACACGTCATCAGCCTCAGCCCGAGTACCGTTCCAATTCTCAAGAACGCCAGATCGAGAACGCACCAAATCCCCGGATGTTGTTCTCGCCCAGCCCTCTTTATCGAGCATGCAGCAGAGCAGACTTGTGCGTTCTTCAGACTGACCGCTTCCCCAGAATGCCCCGCGGCCGCAGCTTGATTCCAGACAGCGCTCACAGTGTTAAGTTAAACATTCCCTTTTCTGCTGCTGTTGTTCTTCAAAAGTACGTTTTGAAATCGTTTGAGGCGATAACATTATACATTGAAGCCTCCCTGTGTGGTCTGTTTACAGAGTTAGTGCGAAATTAAAAAAAAAAGTCCGACGTTGAGCGGACCAGAGTGACCAGCAGACCTCCGAGGGTAACCGCAGCCAGGGCTAAATTTACCCCGTCTGTAGTGCACTTCTCTCGGTCTAGTTATGTGTGAACTACCGCTCGTTCTGAAAACTCCCAACAAAGAAATTCCCGCCATTGCTGGTTTTATACCCACGGTTCGGTAATTTTTTTAATGTTTTTTAAGCTTTAGAAATAAAAAATATTGTTTTCAAAATGTTCTGTGTAGAGAATAAATAGTTTTGACTGTTAAAGAAATGCTAAAGAACGTTGCATGTGATGACGTCACGAGTACGCTTCTGTTCCAATACACATACGTGCTCGCGTTCTCGTGAATTTTGAAACGGCCATAGTATTAGATAGGGGTGTAAATCACATCCATCATGGCGATTTGATGCAGTATCCACAACATGGTGGACGGTAAAATGTATAGATTTAGGTTATCACCCTAGTGGCCGTTAGCTGCAAAAATCCATAGATAAGCCGCATTGTTATATAAGCCGCCAGGTCGAAAAATGGGGAAACAATCGCGGCTTATAGTCCGAAAATTACGGTACTTGAAACAACTGTTGTATAACATGGATGGTATGGATTATTTAACTAAGATTTATGAGGACAATCAGGATACCATATCCTTAGCCAAAGATCTTGTGTAAAGACAGAGATGTAAGAATTTTGATATTAAATATCATTTTGTCAGATCAGTTGTAAATGAAGGAAAAATATTTTTAGAGTACCGTCCAACCAACAAAATGGTTGCAGATGTGCCAACCAAACCAGCAACCAAGACTAAGTTAAGGAAGTATGAAAAGTTTATGTTTGTTGTATCATGATTTGGTTGAAATATGATGAATCAGAGGAAGTTACATCACGTGACCTGTTTAATTGAACACACTTGTGTACAATAAAGGATGTGTCCCTCAAACAACACAAAAGCTAATGTGTCACGTATGAACGCCGGCTCCTACCTGGTCCTGTAAAGACATGACAGGGTTGTTTTTGGTGGTGTTGATGTGCAGCACATGGAAACGGTTCTTGCTGCAGAGGTCGTAGGCGATGTTCGTGAAGGAAGTGCTGGCCGTCTTGGGCACTCTGTTGTAGATGATGACCGTGTCGTCATTTTCAACCGGAGGCGCCGGGTCGGGTCCTACGGCGTCTTCGCTGTGCCGCAGCTCGACCTCAGCCACCTCGTGCCGGGCAATGGTCCGTTCTGTGCAGGACAGAAAGCAGATATCCAACATCACTACAGTGTTTCCACTGTAGTGCAAGAGGAGGAGAGTTTAGTGTCGGAGGTCGTGGATGAGTCTCCTCCGTCATCCATTTTTTATTTAGAGGAGGAAAGCGGGGACGAAGATGTTGTGGAAGAGGACGCCAGGACAGCAGAAGCTTGGTTTGGTGTAGAAGGCTTCCAGTCGTACATGTTTGAGCCCTTGCCTCGCAACGCTGCCAGTTCTGTTAGCTCTACGCCTGCCGAAGACACAGACGTCCATCCCCGTGAACACTGGGACGCAACTCAATGGGAAAGGAAAGGATTCTGATTTCAACCGTTGCGTATATTAGCTGAGACACATGAATCAAGATGCTACGATCAAAAAAATTTGATTGACAGATGATCGTTGATATATGATTGGCCGAATTTAGGTGTTCAGGCTGATGTAGAACTAACTGGCCTGCAGAAGATAATGGAAAAAAAAACAACAGATTTTAAGAAAGGATTTTTTTATTTAAATAGAAATTTTCCAACTTTAGGGACAACATTGTCTTAAAAAAAAAAAAAAAAGGTCTTATATAAACATTTTTAAAGCTACAGTGTGTAATTTTCAGCGACATCTAACGTCCAGACTGCAGACTGCAGCAAAATGAACGTCTCCCCCCCACCGCTTCTCCCCCCCAACAGTACGGCAAGCGTTAGGGGACAAAATGTCTTCCACGACGTCGGAATCACCTACCTTCTCAAGTGATGAGGTTTGTTTACATAGATAATTTTACAGATAGTATTTCATTAGTCTGTATAGGGTATAGATTTCATGTAGACTTTAGATAATAAATATACCCGTTATTTTTTCTACATCGTTGTGACGTTTTGGTGAGCTGCTTTGCATGGTGATATAAACAGACGAAGGAATTGTAGTCATTAGTTTAACAGCGAGATTGTGTTAGCTGGAAGAATATATATTCCCCGTTTACAGAGTCCAAGTCTTGTTTGTGGCACGGGGGTTACAAGGCGAGGAAGAGGGCGAGGACAGAGAGGCCGGGGTGGGCGTGCAGCTAGGGCCAGGCGAGGGAGGGGAGCCAGCGGGGTGAGAGCAGAGGAGGAAAGGCTTGAAGATCTCCAAAGGAGCCAGAGAGAAGTAACCGAGGTATATATCCAGAAAATCATTTTACAGAAAATTACTGAATCATTACCTATGAAACGTCAGGGATGTTGCTGAATAAGTATACTGGAGAGTAACAGCATCATCACGCAGCATGTTATTGTTTTAGACAGGTCTGAGCATTCTGTACTCCAAAAACTGCAGTGATATTAGACAATTGTGTGTGTAGGATTAATTACCTGTCCAAGAGAAAACTGGCAACTTGAGCGTCACTTTGAAAACCTTTTTCCTCCATCAGTGACTTCCATCGTGTAAATGCCGTGCCAATGTTGATCCGTGTTTTTTGTTGTTTCTTGTCACGCTTGCGTTTATTCTCGTCGTGTTTCCGCTTCTTAGATGACGGGGGTTCGGTGCCCGCCGCTTTTCGTTGTGATACAGAGTAGGCATGATCCTCCATTCGTCTGATGTTTGGCCACACAGTGCCAAACAGTTTGCAAAGTCACTCACGCCTGCCGCCTTGTTCACCTTTCTTGTTACTGAGGCGCAGTATACCTGCTTCTTCTTCTTCTTTGGTTTCAGGCAGACTAAACGCTTCTCAGGCATAGTACTGCCATCTACTGTTCAGTACCGTCTCAGTTAATCTCTCTCAACTTGCCGTAGTTATTTTCGAGCGTAATGGGCGATCTCGCAATCGCTAGTTTGTTGCCTCTGCGCTTGCCGTAGCACAAAGATGTCAGCCTCCATGGCTGCGAGACCCGCTCCTATGTAATTATAAATAACGAATTCTAAGGCAACGCAAATATTATGGTTAAATGGCTGAGCTCATAGGTGATGATAAATAACATAGTTATGTATAATATATTAAATTTCTGACTTTATATCCCTGTAATTATTACACACTGTAGCTTTAAGAAGAATGATTTGACATTCAAGAATGATTTCCCTACAACGTCAAACATATCATAACTTTAAATTTTTCTTATTTTTCTTAATTTCTTTTCTTATTTGTAATCAAACAGCTGGAACAGCTGAAGTTTAGACGCCTGTCGTCTAAAGCTGTTAGAGCTGTGACCACTGAGATGCTTCCTCCCACATCAATGGGACATAAAGCCAGATGAGTGTTTGCTAACCTTCATTAAATAAAAATAACACAGCTCCTGAAAACTGAACAACTTTCAAACACTTAATTAGTTTTCTGATGAGAATATTGACAGGAGGCGTAATTAAAAATGTTTTCTCCCTGTTTTTCTTCTCCACAGCAGGGTTAATTAAAGCCATCAGATATGAGCGGCTGTGCGGTTCGTCGCTCCGTCAGTGAGAGCTTGCAGAAGTGTTTCACCTATTTGATGAAACAGAGTTGTTTGTATAGATCAGTCAAACACGTCCTAATGAGTTCGATATCTAAATGCATCGACGTCTCTAAACCTTCTGGTGTTGAAAGGATTCTATTGATGGTTATTTTGTCACGTTATTATTTTAGTGCCATTTTTATAGTGAAGACCATTAGAACGTCGCACGTTTTTATGCATGCATCTTTATTTTGGGTCCCTGAACCATTAAACCCCTAAGGAGTGAATTTTGTTTGACTTTTTTTCTAGCAAAAAACACTTTTTGCAAATTGAAAATTAATAACAATGCAACCCAGAAATTAAACTTTAAAAAATAATTGAATTAAAAAAGGGTTATTTAATTTTTTTACATTAGCCGTTTATATTTTAATTTTCCTTTTTACAGTCTCAGATTTTTTATTAATCATATTTCAGGTCTCAGATTGTTTTGTTTTTTTTATTCAGGGTTTATCAGGAATGCGTAACTCTAATTTAATGCCTTTTATTGCTCTTAAAAATAATTTTAATGCCATCAACAGGTACCCAGGACTCTCATATATACACAGCAAAATCTTTTGTCATTGTAACCGTCAACAGGCGGCAGCCATGTCCCGAATTCCTCGTTTTCCAGCCACTTTTGTTGAAATTAGCATTTTCCCATTCTCTAGCTTTTTCTCCGCCTTTTTCTTCCAAACATACAGCTTTACGATCAACTGGAAGCAGTTCCGCAAAAAGATATTGCGATATATCTAATTAAACTTTTTTTTTTTTTTTTTTTATATAAGGCACTTAAAATGCCACAATAATCACATTTAATGAATTTTAAAGCCAATTCAGGCCTTAATAATAAAAAAAAAATTACTTTGAATGATTTTATAATGACCCGCAGAAACCCTGGAATTGCATTTGTGTCAATTTAGCATTTTTCCTGATCATATTCTCTTCAATTCAAGCCCAATAAAAACACACGAGACACTCAGATGCAGACCAATAGAAATATTTTTGTCAATGTTAATGCAGACCAATAGAAATGCGCCTTCACTCCTGATTGAATGGGAAAGCCCGCCCCTGTGATCTGAAAAATGTAATCTGAAAATAATGACATTTCTCAAACTGAGAAACAAAAATTTGAAAAAGAATTAAAATAGAAACAAAAAATCAGGGTTTCTGCGGGTCATTAAAAATCATTAAAAGTCATTAAATTATTATTTTTGAACTAAGGCCTTAATTAGCATTAAAATTCATCAAATTTGATAATTGTGAAATTAAAATGCTTCGGAAAAGAAGCTTGAGGCAGGGAAAAGGTAGCCTGGATGCCATTCCGAACTTAGTCCCGCCCACAACGTTTGAGGTCGGGAAGTTCGGTCTGGCATTGCTCAATAGTAGCGAGAGTATGCTAGCACAATATCTGGCGGGCCAATCAAATTGTCAGGGCGGGCTTTATCCGATGATGGACAGATGATCAACAGTAACGTAATCAACCACGTCACCAAAGCGCGCTTGGGTGACAACAACAATGGCTGCCGCTGGAGAGGTGAGGTGAGTAGATTCTGCTATAGGGATTGGTCGTCATGACGTAAGCACTTTGCTTCGCCGCCATCCTGATGGCCTCTTTTACCGCGGCTACCGCCTATGACTACCGCGTACTGTACTCCTTCTCAGCCGTGTTTTAATTTGATTAATTTCACCTTAACTTGATTCAACCATGGTAAACCGTTGCTGTATTGTGGGCTGTAACAGCTCAACACATGATCGCCATGAGAACAACATAGAAAATGGGTTAACTTTCCACCCCTTTCCTGCCTGGAGGCGTAACCATGGAAACCAAGCGTCAGAGATAAAGAGTCGTCGGCTAGCTTGGATCGCGGCTGTAAGACGACCGAACATAACTTTCCACAGTATTCCAATGTCAATGAGAGTGTGTTCCCTGCATTTTCATTCTGGTAAGTTAAAGATGCACGGTTTTATTTTATAGCCTACTTTGTTTCTTTCCTTCAAAGTTGGGATCTTTTACGGGAAAATAATTAAAACGGCAGCGGGAAAATGCTCAAATACGCGAGAAACCCGGAGGGTTGGCAGTTAACGTTACTAACTACACCTTTGAAACACATAGCAGCTAATTAAAAGTACATTACATGCGTGAGTGGTTGTTAGCACTAGCGGTTAGCAGTTGCTAAACTAGCAGGTTCCAGAGCCCGTCTGATCACAGCTTACCTTCGTACGGATTACTGTGTTCCCACTGTTTGCTGGCTTTATGATCTGCAGCTCCTGAACCCATCCATTCATGAACTGCACATGAGACTCCAAGGACTTGTAGCTTGGGAACTGTTTTGAAGTATAGGCGCTCACTCATCGGTGCTCCACTCATTGTTTGGAACTTCATATGGATCCAAATGATTAATAACGCTGATTTTGTCAACATACCGGTCCCTGGCTTCTCTATTTAATGTGTCCCGGTAAATTCCAGATCCTCTTCGGGATTTTAACATCTTTTTTCTCTCTACTTCTACGTCTCTTCGTTCAACAACAACGTTGTATCAGAGTTATGTTTACGTTTGCGTAGCCCTCAACATGGCCGCCACTAAGGGTGCTCCGATCAGGATTTTTGGGGCCGATCACCGATTGCTGAAAGCAGTATTGGTTGAAACCGATCACTGGGTCTATCTGAAGCCTTCCTTTTATCATGTCATATATTCAATTTTAATAGTCTTAACAAAAATGTATATGTATTAAAATTAACAGAACATAATGTATTGTGAATTGTCAACTGTATACTTTTGACAGAAAACATTCTACATTTTACTTCCTTAGAAACATCTTAAACAGCTTAGAGCTTAACAAATAAGCCTTATTTCTAAATAAGATACAAAAAATCTGTCATTGTTAATTTACACAAACTTAAAGTGCAGAGCAAAGAAAACAAAATCAAATATTTTGGGATGCCATGATAAAAAGGCATAAGGTATTTATTTTAGGCTTGTCCTGCGGTAATTAACTGAAAATAGAAGCCATGACGGAACAGTCACACATCTTTAGATAATATATCAGTTCTTGTTTGGCTTTTTGTCCTAGCTCAAAGTCTAAAATGTCCTTTTAATCACTTCAGATATTTTTCAGTAGTAATAAAGTTTTGTAAAATTCAAACAAATGCTAACTTTAAATGTTCTTTTAGCTCCTTTAAATCTACATACATTTAAAGTGCACAGCATGGAAATCATGAGTCAATTAGAAAGAAAGAAGAGGAATAGAGATTAGTAAAGCCATTTCTCTTAAAGCTTACTTGTTAAGAATCAATGGCAGATTTTGCTTTAGAAATATAAGCATCTCTGCATTTTTGGCAGACAGCTTGTTCCTTTTCTCATCTACAATATTCCCTGCTGTGCTAAAAAGTCGCTCACTATCTACACTTGTGTACGGAGCCCAGAGGTAGGCTTGTGCTGCTTGTGCGAGAGCGGGGAAACGACTTTTATTGTCTCGCCAAAAAACAAGCGGCTGTCCGCTCCGTGGGATGACTGGCTCTGATACGTAGAGGTTAATCTGCGATGATGTTGAGCTGCTGATGTCACCGCCACCATGTTCCCCGTCTTCATCCAACAACTCAGCCTACATAGCGTTTAAGGAGCCAGCTCGACTTTCTCTGGGGGCTCAGTGCCAGTCGCTTCCAGGACAAGGACATCAGAAAGCAGCCCGCGAATCCGGGGCCTGAGTGCGTCGGAGAAATATCTGTCTTTATACCTTTTTTGTTTGGTTGAAAATAAAAATAAAACTTAAATGGATTTACTTAAACAAACAAGATTTTATTTTAGCTGCGCGTAGGTTACCTAAATGCACTACCGGACCACCGTCCGTTTTCTTCTTCTTCACCACTTCCAGTCGCATACCAATGCAGAGCAACTACAGCGCCCCTAGAGGAATCGGAGGAGTGAATCCAACAAGTAGTGCGTCTCATCGGCCCATCTGATCGGCCTTTATGGAGACCGCCGATCAAACTATTTAAAGCCTTTATCGGCCGATAACGATCGGTGACCGATCAATCGGAGCACCCTTAGCCGCCACGTCCCACAATGCAACGCGGATCCCGAGCCCTATTAGGTCTGTTCTAGAAGATATCGACAGCAAATTAATTTTAAAAGAGGAACAGAGAAACGCGATCAAGGCTCATCTTCTTATTCTAGGCGTGCAACTGCACGCTTTGATTTTTGTTGCCAACAACTATGCGTCGCTTAACATACGCCACGCACTCCGTTGCTCTTATTGGTTGTAGGTCTATCCAATTGAGTGCAGAGGAATTTTTTTCCCTGGTTCGTTCGAAACACGCCCCATAATCACAACTCTATGGAGCACCATCAGACTCATTCTGACTAGAATTGAGTAGGACTACGTCAGGCTAGGGAAAAGGCTAGAGAATGGGGAAAATGCTAGAGAATGGGGAAAATGCTAATTTGGACCAAAGTGGCAGGAAAACGAGGAACTCGGGACATGGCTGCAGCCTGTCCATGGTGAAGATGGTGAAGGATTTTGCCATATATATATATATATAAATAAGTCATGGTTACTTGTTGATGGCATTAAATTTCTAAGAGCATTAAAAAGCATTAAATAACAGTTACTCATTCATGTATAAACCCTTGAAAATATAAAGAAATAAAAAACAAATGTCTCTGATAAAAAAATTTAAATGAGAAAAAAATACAAAATCAAAAAAAAACTCAGCTCTCTTTTTTTTCATCTTAAATGCAAAAGTTTATATATATATATATATATATATATATATATATATATATATATATATATATATATATATATTTTTTTTTTTTTTTTTCAATTTTAACTTAATTCCTGCTCCAAGTCAGCTAAAGGCATGTTTCACAGTCTCTAAACTCCAGTTAGCGATGAATCGATTACTAAAGTAGTTGACTTTCATTCCAATAATTAATCTAATTGTTTCAGGCCTAAATAGAACCAACTAATGCAGCAGGCATCAGATGAGATCTTACCCAGTTTGGCTCTGGACTCGTCCAGTCTCTGGATCTGGTTCTCTATCAGCAGCATGGCCACTCCAAAAGCCAGGACGGCTAGCAGCTGGATCTTGGGTGGCATCGTGCTTCTCAGCAGCCCCATCAAACAACAAGCCGAACCATTCCTCGGACACAGCGAGCTGCTCAGGATGTCATATGATCGCTGCTAACACCAGTGACTCTGAAGCTATGGCTGCTAACAGCGCTTCTTAGCTTTAGCAACTGAAAACAGCTAGCTATAGCTGCAGAGCCCCATTTATTAATACAGCAGTTCAATGAGGAGGCTAGCTCTAAGCTAACAGTAACAGCATCAACAAACACGAGCCAGCTTCATATTATACAACAAATTAGATTTTTTTCCCTAAATAACGATCTATTCAGGGCTAAAAAATCAATCCGGACACCTTCAACATAATTGTTGTTATATAAAATACATGGTTATAAACCTAAACTCCTATATCAGAGACAGCAGCTAACAAGCTGGGAGTCTGAGCTGCTTCTTCTGTTGCATCTCTATAGAACAACAAAGCGATAGTAAAGCCGCATGACGCCACCTGCTGGACAGTATTTATCTTTTCAGCAAGAAAACCAACAAAATACCTATAACATAAAGATGCATTGTGAAAAACACAAAAACACTTTAGTATTTTAGCTGTTTCATTTTAAAAATGTGTTCTCAAGCTAGGATTGTATATATATATATATATATATATATATATATATATATATATATATATATATATAACTCCACAAACTACAACTGGTCCAGAACTCAGCTGCTCGAATCATAACAAGAACTCCCTCTATCCACCACTTCACTCCGGTCCTCCGACAGCTCCACTGGCTCCCCATACAGTTCCGCATTCAATATAAAGTTATCATGATGATTTTCAAGGCACTTCACCACCTTGCCCCCCCATATCTGTCAGACCTCCTGCATGTTCCCACCCCCTCCCGTGCTCTTAGATCCTCATCTGCTTTGCACCTGTCTGTCCCCTCCGCCCGTCTCACCACCATGGGGAGCAGAGCATTCAGCCGCTCTGCCCCCCGCCTCTGGAACTCTCTACCACCCCAACTTCGAAATACGGACTCAATTCTCCATTTTAAAATACAACTCAAAACCCATCTGTTCAAGATTGCTTATTCTCTTTAAAAATATCAATTTCACTGTCACAGCCTCTGTATTTTTTAAATGTTTTTAAATGTTTTTATAATTATAATTTTTATTTTTTCTGACACTTTTTATGTTTTGTACGGTGACCTTGAGTGTCCAGAAAGGCGCCTTTTTAAATAAAATGTATTATTATTATTATATATATATATATATATATATATATATATATATATATATATATATATATATATATATATATATATATATAATGCTGTCAATTATAAGACATTATATTCAGTTGCTGCCAGTCACATTCCCCTATATTATGATACTAATAATATGGCTGCTCAGTGGGGCAGTGAATAGGACTGTGTCCTTGCTGCAAGAAGGTTCTGGGTTGAATTCCCGACCAGGGAGAACATGCATGGAGTTTGCATGTTCTCCCTGTGCATGCGTGGGTTCTCTTCGGGTACTCTGGCTTCCTTCACCAGTCCATAAACATGACTATTAGGTTAATTGGTTTCTCTAAATTCTCCTTAGGTGTGAGTGTGTGTGAATGGTTGTTTGTCCTGTTTGCCCCTGTGTTGCCCTGAGATGGACTGGCGACCTGTCCAGGATGGACCTCGCTTCTCGCTGTTGACAGCTGGAGATAGGCACCAGCACCCCTCACAACCCTGCTTGGAACATGGATGGATGGATAATATTAATAATAATTAAAAATACTGCTAATAATCGTGATACAAAATAGAATGCAATACAACAGAATAATGTGTTGCATATAAAAAATTACTTTCTTTTACATTTTCAGAAGAATAGAACAGAATAAATAACAAAAATTGGCAGCCCATGGAAGTAAGTGGCATTGAAAATAAACTTGTGAAAGTAAAATTTAAATATATAAACAAAAAAACGTGAAGAAAAATGCTAACATGAGATGTTAATTGTTTAAAATCTAATAATTGCAGGATTATTATTATTATGTCAAAAACTTCATCTTACATAATCCATTTATTTATAAACTAACCATTTTTTTTTTATTGTTTGAGCCCACTTGACCCATCTGAGCCGTCTGAGCTTTGGGCCCATATCATCCAGAAATTACTTTTAGAAGCTTTCCGAAATGAAGTAAACTGACAGATCACACAAAGTGACCAAAGAGATTTGACATCCTTCTGTAAAGGAGTATCATAGTCAAACATGACAAAGGCGGTCTGACAGTGTTGACCTGCTGTATTTCATTGCCATGGCCACTCCTGATTGTCATTAGATGTGTGTCCGAACATGCATGATTAATTATCCAGATGCAGTACATCTCAACTCCCAAAAGGTGGCAGTAGAAAACAGATTTTTGTTGCTTGAGGATTCTTTGCCTACAAGGTTTTTCCCAAATTAGATTGAACTCAAAGCAATAAAGCAATTTGACACCATGAGACAGAATTCCTAAAGTTTTTAATATGAAATAGAATCAGACTCAGTGGTGTTAGTGTTCATTAGCCTTTCTAATTGATTATTAACTGATACTAGGAAGCTGATAATTTGCAATCAGATCAGTCCAAACAAGTCAGGAGTGTTCAGGTGTAGACAACCAGACATATCCATATAGAGCTGCCTAGAGGATCACTGGAGGCTTTGGCACTCTTGGCAGAGAAAAAGTGAAAAAAAATGGAGGGAACATGTTTTCAGAGATCCTACTCAGCTGAGGTTGATTTATCAAGCTTACGCACACATAAAATGGCTTGAAACTTTTGTGGGCCATTTTCTACACAAAGGTTGTGATTTATCAAAGAAAAAGTCTGGTCATATTCAGAAGTCAAACTTCTGAAAGTACTTGAAAAATGAAATTATTACATAATGTTCAATATATGATCAGTGTTTTAATTAAGAGTAATTTTCATGTGAATGTGCTTTACTGGAGGCATCCATGTTTGTCAAAGAACACTACTGCCACCTACTGGTTAGTGACGTCACGGTGCGGTATCGGCTGTTGATCAAGTCCCAGTGCTGTATCTGGTGTTTGTCACAACGCGCTATTATCCAAGTCATCTTGAAAACATTCTTCTTCCAAATGTTGGCTACATATTACGGGTTTTTTCTCTGGCCAGAAGTTCGATGGCAAATCCTCCCTCTTCAAGTTGGCGATCCAACGACCAACCCGTCCGTGGAGGATCAGGAATCAGAAAGGTGGAATAACTCTTTTTATTTTTTCACTTTTACCCGATGTATTCCAGCATCCAGCTGCCATGCACATAGGCATTGTCACTTTCACTATAGCTCTGGTGAATTTCAATGGTGAAGTCCTCTGGAATCTTCAATAACTGTTGTTGACTGCAGATTAATAGAATGGCGCTAGGCTTACCGCACCATGACGGATGGCCGTAGGTTTGCATAGGGACCATAAGGAGATGTCCCTACCAAAATTTTTCACTGACCTACTTGTCCCTACCAACAATTAGATGTGAATAACATGTTTATGATTTAAAATACAGCTTTGTTGCAGCAGTAGAGGAGTTCTGGATTGAGAATATTGACAGACGAAAACATTTTTGATCTAAAATGCAATATATCTATATCTTGTTAAATAGGCACAGATTTACTTACTGTCTTAGTCGCTGGTATTTTCAAATGCAAACCTTTTCAAAATGGAAAAAAGTCAAATTCCACGTTCTTCAGGGCCAGTGATGCTTCAAACATTGATAAACAGTATCTAGTGTCTGTATCGCTTATAACATTTGTACAAGTGTAGCAAGAAATGCTGCTTTTCTCTTTAAACAAAACACACCCTGATTTTCATGTCAAAAAATAAAAACGAGCATGCATATTTTGCATAGGACCAATGACATCAGACCAATAGTGTCCCTACCAAAGTTGAAATGAAACCTACGCCCTTGCCGTAACGTCACTGCAGGAAGATGTCAGGAGTGAGGTGTTAATATATTTGGGCAAAAATGGTCACTCCCGAACTCAGTAATTGCGACAATTTTATTTTATTTTATTTATTTTTTTAACTGATTAACGCTAAATTCATTAAATCACAGCAAAAGTATTAGTTTGAAGTATAAATAATTATATATTGGTTATTCCTTGCTGACTGGACTTCCTTTAAAGAACAAGCACCTTGAAAAAGACAAGGTAATAAACCGTTTAGCTTATTTTAGATAATGTATCCAGGGGAGGCAATGCCATGTTTATATGGACTCCCTAAAATTCACAACGAAGGAACATCACTAAGACCCATTGTCAGCAGTATTAACTCAGTAACAACATTGCTAAACAGCTTACTAATACTTTAGCCTCCCTGGTGGAAAAACAAACCAAAGACTTTGCAAACAAAGTCAAACATTTAAAGATGGCGCCAGGAGAAACCCTGTCGTCTTTGATGTCACTTCTCTTTTCACGTCCATATCTATATCAGAGGCAGTAGAAACAGTCGGGAAACATCTTCAACAAGACAGTGACCTAAACAAAAGGACTAATTTCACTCCCGACCAAATCTGTATCCTATTGGACCTTTGTCTTTCCACAGCCTATTTTAAGTTTGGGGATCATTTTTACAGACAGAAGCATGGTTGGGACATTGGATCTCCCCAGGGCAGCTGTGGCTACAAGCGGACAGAAGCGGGGCTGCAGTACACTGGCGCCACCGGGCCCTCTGACCACCATCAGTAGGCAATGCAGGTGTAGTGTCTTGCCCAAGGACACAACGACACTGAAAGTCAGAGCTGGGGCTTGAACCGCCAATCCTTCAATTTCAGGGCAAACTCCTACATCCAAACGCCACTGTCACCCCTTAAAAAGCTGCTCTCTGTGGTTTTTCTTCACTCAAACTGTCATGACCTGCCCTGATAACTGATCTTAAATACTCACTTTAGTCACCTGCCGTTCCCTTCCCACTCTCTAATTATCATTCACCTTATTCACCTGCTCCTGTGCTATAAATACGGTTCAGCCCAGCTATCTGGGCCAGAACATTGTTTGTTGTTTTATGCCTGTTAGTTTGGTTTAGTTCAAGGTTAATTTCCCTGTTCCAGTGAGGAGATCATTTTCGAATTAGTGTCTTCAGGCGAGTTTATTCCCTAGCCAGTGGTGAGAGCGTTTCAGTTTTTCCTTAGAGATTCTGATTACCTGATTCTGTTTTCTCTCATCCACTAATCCTGACTGATGTGTTGCCTGAGCCTCGGACTGGGAATGATTTTCAGCCCTGGCATTTTTTACTTCTTGAGCTCCTTAAGTTATTTACTCTCACAGGTAGGTGCTTCGGCTGGAGAGTAAGTGTTGGGGCCGGTATGATTTAAGGAGGGCTGACCCTCGCACCCTGAAATTAGGAACGGCCTACCAGGCAAATGCCCGTTATCGCAGATTACCAGTCCGATCCTGACCTCAACTGTCTTTTCACTCCTGCTGGATT